CATTGCTTGGATAGCACTCACAGCGCTAAATGTCATCGTTTACGGAGTATTTTTACCTCATATATACTGGTCTGTGATGTAGCTGCTATAGCGACCGTTGCAGCTGCTATAGCTACCGTTCTAGATGTCTATGCCTACTCACAAACAATGGCTGTGGCTGCCATAGCAGTACTGATGATGCCACATGCTGTCCTCTATGTCTATGGAGCAGTCAGACTGATACAATGCCTCAAAGAAAGAGCTACTGCGATCGGCACAGGTCGTGGCCTGCTCTATTTCCTCAGCCCTGGTAGCGAGGGAACTCTGTTACTAGACAAGTAACAATGTATAACTTTTGCACCGAGTATTCTTTTGTGTGATACATAGAGGACAAAAATTAATTACTGCACTTCAACCCAAACGGATTTTTATATACTATGTTTGTTTGGTATACGTAAGTATTGTGTCACAATGTGTTGACTTAACGGGAAAATTATTTGATGGATCGCAGACTTTGTTTTAGTTTGAAGAGTATTCCTTTATACTCTGTTCACGTATATTAATTGTCAGGGATGCCATTATGAAAGGAAGTGGCTCTGGCTGGTGTTCAGGCCGGCCAAGACCTTGCTATCTCTCAATTGTTTATATGTCCAAGTGTGTACCACGGAGAACACTCGTAGCCTTGCAAATGCCAGTGTGCCGTTCTGCAGAAAGTGCTGACTCAGCTGGTTGACTGGGTTGCGTGGGCGAACATACATCTCTGCAAGCGGTGACGCGTGCACAACCTCCTCTGGGTTGTATGCACGAAAGTCATGTGATATGGTATGCAGCTGTATGCGGGATCTGAATGCCCACAATTTTTAAACTAGAAGACATCATATTGATGTTCTACTTGTTAATGCAGCTGTGGCAGGAATGTCCACCTCCCCTGCGTTTTTAACAATGATGCACAATATTGGAAGGAGCTGGTAGATAATAATTTCGTCTTCTTGAAGTTAAAAAACAGTCGGATTTTCGTTCCGACAGATGACTGGGAAATCACACGAAGTGCCGGCAGAAGTTCGTTGTTAAGGGCAACAGATTTATATGATAATAATTTCCAATCCAGCGACTTAACACCAAAGCTGAACGAATTAAACAATCCCACACTGGAGGTCACAACAGCTTCAATACCACTACACTCGTCTTTATAGAAAGGGAAAAAAATTAATTGAACTTCATCCTCGCAGAGTAGAATTGCCAATGGTGGGAATTGGCAAGTACCTAGGGTAGTAATACAAAATGAATCCATTTATAAAACAGATGACTGACCATTGTCGGTTGAACGTTGTTTCGATTGCTTTCGAGCAATGTAGTACCCTATTGTCTGGCACACAGCATCGTCATTAAAACTGGCCTTCCTTTTCACTTCAACAAGTGAAGTTTATAGCATGCTTCTTTACAGAAGAGCCATAACTAGTTAAAATGTTATGCTGAATTGTGCAATATCCTGTTTTCCCTGGTGTTAGAGTTTGTTGTTCTTTCGAATGGAATGTACATTGTGCAATACAACTCAACGGTGACACAGCATGTCATTTTTATATTCATAATGTATTAATTAGGGGCATACCCAGGGATATCCCTTGCTACGTTATGCAGTGTTAGTGTGAAGAGCTTATATAAACGTTATTTTTTAAACGCAGTTCTCCTGTGTGTATTCTGTGGTGTACTTGATCCACCGTCACAAAACAATAGAAGGTTGGAGGAGTTGGGCAAGGCATATTTTTGAATTGTTTGCCCATTTTCACTTCTTCACATTGACGTGGAAGTTCTTCGGCAAGTAGAAAAAGGGCCTGCCTCAATCAGTTAACACCATTAAATTCAGATACGTACCTGGTCACTTGATGGCGGACCAACCATTATGTCATTTCCTACTGGCTAACTCCATCCATGCTCCTAGAAGCTCCACTGTTGGTTTTTGTCACAACTCTTCGTTTTGCTTTGCCAGCAGTGCCTTTGTTCGTACATGTATCAGAAAGAACTACAATACAGTGTCAATCTACCACTTAATTATAATAGTTAATAGCCAATTTTAGCGTTCTGTTCAGGAGGTTTTTCCTCATTCTGCAAGTAGGGCGCAGCAAGGTCGATGGTTGTAGCAACGGTTCTGAGTGCCACAGGCTGTCTGAACGGGCTGCACGCGATCATTTCTTTTTATCTTTTGTGAAGTCTCAGATTCGATGATTCCCACGAGTGTCCACAGCATGAACGGCGAGATCCACGAAACAGTTTCGTCTATTGATCCAATGGTTGTACCGTTCAGTCGCAGTCACTTCCCAGTCGTGTTCCTCTCGGCTGTCATTCTCTTCTTTATTCTGTTGCCACCTACACTTCTGTTACTGTTCTATCCCACTGCTTGCTTTCGAAGACTAAGCAAGTGTCTTAAACCAAGGCGTGCTCTTACAATGAAAATATTCACTGATGTAAGTTACAAGAGTGGACTCAACGGAACAAAAGATTACCGTTCAGTCGCTGGCTTTGTTTTCATTGCTTGGATAGCACTCACAGCGCTAAACATCATTGTTTACGGAGTATTTTCACCTCATATCTACTGGTCTGTGATGTTTTTCCCTCTGGCAGTAGGTATGGCTATAGCATGTCTGGTGTTTCAGCCATACCAAGAGAGAGCAGCCAATGTTTCTGGAACACTTCTTCCTAGTAGCGAGGGAACTCTGTTACTAGACAAGTAACAACGTATAAGTTTGCACAGAGTATTCTTTTCTGATACGTAGAGCACAAAATTAATTGCTGCACTTCAACTCGAACGGATTTTTTATATTTTGAGATACACTATGTTTGTTTCGTGTAAGTATGTATCAAAATGAGTCACTGAAGGCACTCTATCATCCCAGCTGTCTCGAAGCCTCTAACTAAAGAAGAGTTGTAATTGTTGTTATCACCAGTTTCCATGCAAAGGCTTGATGAGAGACGCTTTTTGATCAATCTTCACCTTATCCAGGCTTGCACCTTGGTCTAGCGCAGTCTTGATTTCGTCTGCATACCACCTACTGAAATGTTCCTTCATTAGAGCTTTAAACTCATCATTCACAGAGAGATCAAGTGGCTGCAGTTCGCCAGTGCATGAAGCAAGGACAGATATCTGATGAATGTGATGTGCACTCAACTTTTGGAGCACTGAACTGCAACGATTAGCAGCAAATACATCAAAAACAGATAGGCACACTTGGTCTTCTGGTAGCTCTAGTTCTCTCCGAGCTGGTGAGAAGTACAGGATGACAACATGATCTATCTATTGAAGCATTGTTTCCTCCGTACTCCAATGGTTATCACTATGTGTGATGTGCCATCCCTGAGGAAAAGTAATCTTGGCAGGACATCCAGGTGTTTTTCCTGGATCGATTAGCTGGGGCTCCACTAGCAGACACAGCAAGAAGAACAGTTATCTCTCTTTTGTCATCCTTGCCAACAACTGACACTTGCGCGCTTCCTTGCTCAGCCAATGTCCACTGGCTAACAGGCACCAACTTTGACCCTGTCCGATCTCAATTGATGACCAATTTTGGAGGAATAGCATGTTGCTCGACTTCATCGCGAAATTCTTTGTAAAAAGGCAGATTTAAGATCTTGAAAATTAGGCGGTAGTTTTCGTGCGGCCTTGGTTGCCTTTCTCTTAACATATCCACAGCGTCTTAGGAAAGACTCTGCCCATTTCACACCAATACGTATAAGCCCACCATGTTCCTGGAGCTGAGAAGGATTGCTGTGGGCGACTATTCCCTTCCTGCTTGCACAATAGAGCGATTGACAATACCACCCGCCAAATGTAAGGCTTGTATGTACTCCACAATTTTAGTATCTAGCTCATCTCCGAGTAATAACAGTCGGCTGAGGCTAGCGTGAGGCAAACTAACAACCTCGTCAGAGTCCGGTACACTCTTCAGCACACGCAGGTACGCCTTTTTCATGTTCCTCACGCTGCTTTCAGAAACACTATGGCCGAGTTCTTGCGTGAATCTTAATGCAGCTGACTTGTTACCGTGCTGACACGCATGTTTTGCTATCTTAGCCCGTACTTCAGGATCATAGTCATGGTACCTGCCCAGTTTTCGGCATTTTTCCTTCGACACCTGTTGCACGCTATCATTGGCAGCTGAAGTGCACAGATCTGCTGGACTTGGAAACAACAGAGGTGATTCTTTTGATTCCAGCCTTTTTCAGCCAGCCGTACAAGGACGCCATTGCAACCACGCGGTAGTATACTGTGCATGTGCATTAGGGTTTATATTGGCGTCCACAAAAATTAGTGATTACTAGGAATGCGCACGCGCATATTTTGCCTCGCGCCTGCCAGCCAATGCGTAAACACTCCGACTGACATTCCTAAGCGTGACTAATTGACATTTTTAAGCGTGACGACACGTACGTACGTACGCATATTGCGAGAATACAACCCGGAGTAGTTGCCTCACGCTAACGCACCTAATATTGCTAACATTAATGCACGCTAAAATTAATGGTTTTACAGTACTTTCCCACACATGATTTCAAGACCAGCTGTACTATGTTACAGTACATAATGTAGTGTCCAAAAGGAGGGGACACCATGCTGATTCTGAAGGTTATGGTGACTACTAAGGGTATGAGAGTAATTGGAACGTACTGCAGCATAATGTATGTAGTAAGACTATATTTATCGAGCGACATGTAGCACAATGAATGCACAGATGGTCCATTGTACCATTTCTACATCTTCCACAGAATAAATCCCCCACTTCTCGTTCAACATGACTACAAGTAAAGTTGTTTTAGGTCAGTGAGGTTTTGAGGTAGGTGAATGAGTCCATTTTTGACAAGGTGAGGTGGAAATACATATGTGCAGTATGCCGCCACAGTTTCATTCGTACAGATGTGATGGTTAGCACAGTGTCCCACTTTGACATATGAAGCACCTTCTCTCTGATTGCACGTCACCACTGACTCCATTGCACTGCTGCACACACACTGAGGGTAGGCTGATGAACCTTCAGTGAACCAAGGTGGACATGTCCCTCCACTGACAGGCATTCTCACTGGCATTAGAAACAGAATGAAAAGGTAGTGGACCTCCATAGTCATCTACACAACCTGACGACAATGCATAGCCACCTGGTCTGATGCTATACTGTGCGGTAGTTGATTTGTTTGTTGTGCCTTTGCCTTTCTACCTCATAGTTTTCACATGCATATACTTGGCTTGGAGTTGGGCGTCATTGGTGGTTTAATTACCCCGGTCTGCTCCTGCATGCTCTTAAGTGAGAGTATACTGTCCATAGCACAGTGTGGTTTGAGGTTTGCCTTGTGTTATGTTGTGTTGTAGATTGGAACCCCTACTAGCTGAGATGCCCTGGTAGCTCAGTTGGTAGAGCGCTGTCGTAGGTGTAGTTGATTTGTTTGTTGTGCCTTTGCCTTTCTACCTACCTCATAGTTAACCCTCGGCGCGCATGCGCAGCGAGGGTTACTGTAGTTGGTACCCTCGGCGCGCATGCGCAGCGAGGGTACTGTAGTTGGGTCTGTCTGTCCGTCCGTCCGTCCGTCCGTGTGTCTGTTACTCTCAATCTCACTTCCCGAGTGTTTGTTCGTCTCACAAAGGATACGACCTACTTAACGGGCAATGAAGGTCAGAATTTTTGAACGGTTTTCTCTGAAAATGCTTCGTTGCAAAGCTAGAGCGCTTCCACCATTGTACGGCTAATGCTAGTCGGCCATTTTTATCGCTGCGGAAAATGCGCATGCGCTTATATTTTCAACAGGTGTCTGTCTGTCTGTCTGTCTGTCTGTCTGTGTGTGTGTGTGTGTCGACGCTTATTTAGGCACTACAGGCTACGAAGCGTCCCATTAGCGATACCAGTAGCTTCATAATTACACGAACCTGAATGATAAAAGGGCGATTTTCCTGAAACGACTGCGTTCGAGAGCGACAAACTGGCACCGTCGCGGACCGTGTTCCGTGGCCCAACCCATCAATAAGCGGCATGCGTACTTATGTTAGACGCGATCAACGCGCTATGCTGGCTCACCCCGACCTTATCTGCTTGCTCTGTGTACCTTGAAGACACAAGAAACCACAGCGAAGGGCGTGTATCGACTCCCGCATGCTATATACTACCGTAGCTAGCCCGTGTCAGACTCTCCGCGAGCTACTAGCGGGATCCGGGAGACTGCGGGTCCGTCCATTAGCTGTACCGCGCATGCGCAATTCGCCGAGGGTTTGCACTTCAGTGCTTTTCATTTTCACATGAACACTGAAAATCATTCAGCTTAACGTTTATTTTTCAAGTACAGCCTCTATTTATAAAAACATTTTTCTGATGGGGTGTTCATACGTAATTTGCTCAGAAAGGTTATATACATGTAACAGTATGTGCATAAGCATTTTGCTTTAACACATAGTAGGTCGCAGAGGAATGTAAGCCTGGCACAGCCTCATCTTATCACGTATCGCCAATCTGACATCATGAGCCGTGTTTGACATGGAATTGTAGAAATGTAAATCTACAGTTAGAAAATTAACATTGTAAATTCTGCAGCACTAACCTTCTTTACATGTTTATTTTTTAACCAGACTTGAACATCGTGCATCATAAAGCATACACAAGTAAATTAAATATCCAGTGAATGGATGGGATACATGAAGCATGGTTAATGAACAGATTTGAGTACGCTGACACCCCCAACCCCATCACGCAATCCCTATATTGTTGCCTGGTGTGCTACTCTTATAGGGGCTAAAGGTTACTAAAAGCAAGCATTCTTTCACCATTTCCCTGTTGTTTTTAGTAACATTTATACTGCCACATTCCCTTTAAACTCCACTTAGTGTGTTGGTTACTCAGTAGTGTATTGTAAGTTTTGAGTATTGTAATGGTGAATGTTTAATACTTCACCTAGGCAACAATAATTACAGGGATTGTGTGATTGGGTTTGGGGTGTCAGCGTACTCAAATCTGTTCATCAGCTGTAATATAGGCGCGCGCGCTCACATGCCATTTAGCGAGCGGATCTATCACACCTAGCTTTCGCGCCTTGGGTCCAGTGATGACAGCAGAGTTTTAGTTTTTCACTGCAGTACGTGGTCATCATATACCAGCAAGGCAGTAGAGAGTGTTTGTTCTAGGCGGCGCGGCTCGCTAACGCGGAAGTAGGCGGGGCCGCTGGGCGCTTCTCGCACCGCGCTAGCGTGCGCGTCTGGCTCGAGCTGTAGCTAGGGTCCTGTACTGCTGTAGTCATGCACCGCTTCCAACTAGAAGACCGAATACCTGGGTTTTCGTGAGAAACAACCTCTCCAGAAGCTCCGTTTGCCTTCCGCTTGCACGGCATCTCTCGAATTGAAGGCGTGGTTGCCATGGCCAATACGCGTAAGAAAAGTGCCACAGGGCTGCGAAATAGTTACCGCGGAAGAGGTAACTAACAAAAATAGTTACCTCTAAACTCGGAATCTGAATCTGATTGGCCAATTGCGTGTTACCGTAGTCTAAGATGCTAGGTACCATGCCAATCCCTATATCACTAAGTACGGTAGTACTTAGTATTTAGGGATGACACAGGTTGTCCAGCATTATGCCCATACATTTAGATTTTCATGTTTCACTTTCTATTTCAATCAGATCCAACTTTTGACACATCAGACTAATTTGTATCGTCAAAAAGAGCACGTATCCAAGAAATAGCTCAAATCGCATAATCAGTACTTGATTTATTTAAAAAAGTCACTTTTCAATTTTCTTCTTGTTGTTGTTGTTGTTGAGTTTCGACAAGCATATCTCAAAAACCAGGTAAGATATGGAGATCAAACTTTACACAAAGATTGGAAACCATGACAGGTCGTGCAAGAGCATTTTTATTTGTTCGTAAACAATTTTGTTTACATGTAAACAACAACAAATAGCCCCAGGTAATACATTATTATAGAGACAAATTAAGTGTGCTAACTGGGTAAAGCTAATACCCAGAGTGATAAAACTTTGTATACATATACAACCCATCATTAGTATGAAAATGTAAACATTACAAGTTTTAAAACAACAACAAACAGCCTCAGGCAATAAAAACGATGAAACTTGGTACACTGATGTACCACGATGAGAGTTCATCGAAACAGAAATTACAAGTTTGTAAACAAACAACTAACAGCCTCAGGCAATAAAATCTTGTAAACCATAATTATTATTGCCTATAACTTGCTTATGGTGGGACCTCTAACAATGAAACTTGGTACACTGATGTACCATGGTGAGAGTTCATCGAAACAGAAATTACAAGTTTGTAAACAACAACAAGCAGCCTCAGGCAATAAAATGATGTTTGTGCCTATAACTTGCATATTGTGGGTCCTCTAACAACGAAACTTGGTACACTGATTTACTATGATAAGAGTTCATTGAAACATGAATTACAAGTTTGTAAGCAACAACAAACAGCCTCAGGCAATTAAGTGCTGTTTTTCCTATAACTTCGTACACTTATCTACTTTGGAACCGAAATAAAAATGTAGATGACGACTAAGAGTCCGAGGCAATAAATACATGTTACTTTTTATATGGACATTATGCCCCAATGCATGTGCATGCCGTAAAAAAAGGAAAGGAGACAAGTAAATAAAAAATTCTTCGAATTAAAAAAGTGTGGAATATAGGGATGCCATAAAAAGCAAGGAGACAAGACAGGGATGACCTAGTGTATGTGATGCATTAGTACAATGGACAATGGTTACATTTTCAAACTGACATTGCTTGCTCGTGTAAATCTTCCTCCACACAAGCCCTATATTGTCGCCACTTTTCTCACAACATGAATTTGTTTAGTGTGAGAACCATTGTGAGGCTGAGACACATCAACCCACTTGTGCATAAGAAACGAGTCATAGCTGCACATCATACAATAGAGATCACTCATGCTAGCAAGAGATTTTAATGACAGTGCATTTAGCCGGCACTCTTTAGTTGAGTCCCCTCTCTCAAGAATATTAAGACCAGTCTGTAAAGGGACTCTCTGGAGGGCCATGAACACAGCATTGTAAAACTCATCGTTTGTTGAGCGAACATAGAAGTCTTAGACTGCACATAATGCAGTCACAACCAAAAAAACTGAGGAGCTGTCAGAGAGGGCAACACTCTGTGCATCACATGCTTAAGAGATGAGTCATTCTATGAGGGAGCACAGTCATGCTTTGCGACAATATAGGGCTTGTGAGGAGGAAGATTTACACGAGCAAGCAATGTCAGTTTGAAAATGTAACCA